AACTTGGTGGCCTACATGAACATATGGGCTATTTGTTTCTACCAGTGGTAAATATATACAGATAAATATGAATCACAATTCATTACTACTTAAAAACGTTTGATATGCAGTTCTCTAATATTCTTAGCTTAAATATTTACCAAACGAGGCTTTCGTCTCAACACTGTATATGTCGTGCAGGGAATTCTTCAGTCCATTCATGTATTTGACACTGAATAAATCTAGTATTTGGAAAGATTGTTGATAATGTATTCTAGGTTTTTTGTTTACTTTTACCAGTAACACAACATTTTACACTTTATTGTTGAATCAATTGTGATGATATTTAGAGTTATAGGAATAGCTATATGTAAGTAACGTCTGAAAACAGTATCCTATTTTGAAATGGATAGTGTTGTCAAACAAACTGATATTAGAAAGCTCTGATATGCAGAAGACTAAAAGATAGATCAACACTTATGTAGTTCTAATGTTCAATCTTATACAAACTAACAAGTATCTTGATAAAGTTTATTTCAGTAAAAATCCTTATATAACACATTATATCTTAACCGTTCGTACTTTCCATTCAGTCAATATAATAAACCGTTTGTTCATAGTGTAGTTAGTTCATATGTCGTGATACGTTTTCGCATAATAATTAGCTCCCTACATAGATTGATGAGTTGTAATTTTTCTACAAATGTTAAAACTTTGACAACGAAAAGTTGGCTAGAAATATGCTTAAAAAGGTAACTGCAAACAATTGTCTAGCTAAAAATCAGTTATGTGGAAGACAGAATTTAGCTGATTAATGAAACTCGAATTTTAAATCAATCCCATTCAGTCATACTGTTTTTCACGTTTTCAATTCAATGAGTACTCCAAAATGTCTCTCTACATATGACACATATTATATGTTTGGTTATTAATGTCAAGATATATAAGTTCATTCTGTTGGAAATCAGCTAGTGAACGCTTATTGTTTTAAAGTCATTTAAACAATGACTGTAATCAGTGACGTTGGCTAATAGTCGACAATTAATTTTAGAACGCTTGTTTTGTTCTACGACGAAATCTTCAGTTGAATGTACTTACATCAGTGTTTTCGATCACATTGAGATTTGAACTCGGACTATTTAGCTTATCATGTTCAACGAGATACCCACTGTGAAAATGGATCCGAATAGCTACTACCTTATGCAATATATATAAATTTCACTTGTGAAAGTTTGTATCTTTCAGTCGCTGATATTGACGTGATTGAAACGTAAAATTAAGATGAAACAACCTAATATTTAACTTTTTTATGTTATCCACTCAAATAATCATTATATTCTGCTAAATTCTCGTTTAATCTAACCTTTAGTGTAAATAAGAATACTGATAACTTACATCACACACACACACCACCTATGTTAAGGTTATCAGTATTTTGGGAATATAAACCTATTATCAGAATAGGTTTTGTGGAGTTTTAGAAATTTCACAGGTTGAAATCATGAGTTGGTTGAAGCTAGACCACCATTTAAAACTTGGAAGCACTGGTTTTCAATGGTGGTCTAGCTTCAGCTGACTCATGATTTCAATCTGTGAAATTTCTAAAACTCTCCTCAAAACCCATTCTGATAATAATCAACTGCTCACTAGTGACTGACTTCAGGAAAAACTCCTGGAGTTCTAGTGAGAAGCCATTACCAGTGGAGTTCAACCGATCTGTTGTGAGATAACAACTCACTAAAGACAATGGTATATGGTGGCGCAACTTCGTGGATTGGTTGAAGTTAGACATTAACACACCGTTTGATGCCGGCTCAGTGGTCTAGTGGTTAAGTTCTCGCGCGCGAAGCCAGTAGGTCCTGGGTTCGAGCCCCGCGTAGTGTGGGGTCGTGGATGCTCACTGTTGGGGAGTCTCTCACCAGGACGAAACGGCCGTCCAGTGCTTCCAGGTTTCCAATGGTGGTCTAGCTTCAACTGATTCATGATAAACCTATTAAATAATTTCAGTATTCCATTTTCATTTTATTCAGTTTTCAAGAACGAAAAGGAAAAAAACTGAAAATGAATATAATTCCGAAATCCTTAGCCTAAATTGAAGAACTTGAAATTAATCAGACATAACAGCAGTTAATAATCATAATGAAAAGTGTATAGTCACTAGCATTGATATCCAGGACATGAGTTTCGTTCTATTCGGGACTCGTCAACTGCACATGCTTGCATCTCATAGTTGATGTTCACTCCGTAACTTGAACACACTACCGTTCACTTCATACGCCATCGCGTTATTCACTTAGCTACTGAGTCCTGATAGTCACTTGCTTGTGCAAATGCATGAAGTTTAAATTCACTTAGTGTTGTTTACCTGTATCGTCTCATAAATAACTATATTTTTTAACAAAGAGGTAATATTCACCAAGTTGTTGGCATATATGCATTCTGTGTAAATATCCTCGATATTGCTTTCATTCACAAGTATTATAAATAAAGATAGATAGTGTCTAGCAATGGAATCTAAGACGTACGTTTCGTAAATAATACCAAGTTATTTAGGTAATAATCACGTTCTATAGACAAATTACAGCATAGTGTTTTCTAATCACTATATAGTTACTAACAATTTTTTGATAAGGTTTACTTTTTCATAACTTAAATAGATATTTGAACCAGGCGCAAAATAGTTTCATACATACATACCGTATCACCTATTATTTTGTTTAGTTTTCTATATAGTAATAACACTGAATTTCGCCTGTGCTTGCGAAAAACTTTAATTATTATGTACAGATTTAATCTGAATATTAAAATATGACTTGATCATTATATCTATTGGCTATATTAGAATCGTTCGTATTTGTTGATAAAATGAACTTACTTCTTACTTACGCCTGTTACTCCTCGTGAAGGAACATAGGACGCTCATCAGCATTCTCCATCAAAACCTGTCATGGGCAATCCTTTCCAGCTCCTTCCAGTTCCTATTCATCATTTTCATATCTGCTTCTATTTCCCGATGTAATGTGTTCTTTGGCCTTCCTCTTTTCCGCTTCCCTTCAGGATTCCAAGTTGGAGGTTGCCTCGTGATGCAGTTTGATGATTTGCGCAATGTATGTCCTATCCATTTCCATCGTCTTTTCCTAATTTCTTCTTCAGCTGGAAGCTGGTTTGTTCTCTCGCACAAAAGGCTGTTGCTGATGGTATCTGTCCAATGGATGTTGAATATCTTGTATAGACAACTATTTATAAATACTTGTACCTTCTTGATGGTGGTTGTTGTAGTTCTCCAAGTTTCAGTTCCGTACAGTGGAACTGCGTTGACGTTGCTATTGAATATTGTGACTTTGATATTAATTGAAAGTTGTTTTGAGTTCCATATGTTCTTCAATTGTAGGAATGCGGCCCTTGCTTTGTAAATCCTCGCCTTTATGTCTGCATCTGAACCTCTTTATTCATCGATGATGCTTCCCAGATATGTGAAGGATTCTACATCTTCCAGAGTTTCACCATCAAGATTGATTGGATCGTTGTTCTTCGTTTTGAATTTGGGGACCTTGGTTTTCTCCTTGTGTATGCTGAGGCCTACTGATGAACACCATCCACAAAGTTTAAATATACAATTCAAAATATAGAAATCCCTGACTGTTAACGTATCGTTAGTAAATTTTATGATGTATATTATTGTAATACAAGTGTATTTATGGGATAAAATTGTTGGCATAGAGTTATACCTAAATAGTATTTACTTTTTCGAAGGGTAATCACATAGGCATCAGTAGGGATAGGTCAGAACGGATTCATCTGAAATTAGCATTTTATACCAACTGAAGTGTTTAATCCTTCAAATTGATTTAAAGAAAAGTGTTGTATTGGCGTTTAGCATTATAGATTGAATACTGTAATTGTTTCTTTTCTTTAAACTTATTTTTACACATCGCATTATAAACGAAATTTCATGCTTCTTTCTGATAAAAAAACACAGAAGTAACATTAAGTCCACTTGCTGTTGTTTGATTTTATTTTCCTATTGGTGTTTACGGTTGCAATTGATCAGTCTCATGTTGACATATGTGCATCCTGTGCGAATTGCCTCGATATTGCCTTAAGTCAAAAGCTTTATAAACAATCATGGGTAATGGCTAGCAGCTGAATCCAGGACGCCTATAATGCTTGTGAATTAAAGTATTATCGAAGCAATATGCACAGTATGAGCATATATGAATAAAAGACTGATCGATTGCGGTCCTAAACATCAACGTGAAAATTCAAGTAAACGATATCAAATGAATTTAAACTTCACCCTATTGCACAAGCAAGTAGTTGTCAGGACTCAGTAGCTAAGTGGATTAGGCGACGGCGTTTGTAACATAAGGTAAAGGGTTCGATCCCCAGAGTGGACATTAACTCGAGTGCAAGTACAGCCAGTTGACGAGTACGAAATAGGGCGAAACGCATGCCCTAGATTTCACGGCTAGTCATTAACCATCTTTGCTAGTTTAATTGTTTAACGATCATTATGTTAGTGTCATATTTGTTAACCTTATTTTAAAAATGGCTTCCTGACAATGACCTATTGAATAACATCTGTAGTTAAACTCTTTCTGAGCAATCATTTATCTTGTTACTAGTACAATATCCTTTTATACTTGATATTAAACTATATTACATCATCCTAAGATATTTACTATTGACGGTCTAAACTATACGTCCTTAGAGACATATTGAAATGTAGTAACAAGTTTGGAAATACTGTGGTGCGTGCTACTTATATTGATATAAGTAGTACATAAGGCGAGTCAGGAATGTAATGTCTGGCGGGAATAGAAAGCAATTAGTATGGAAATACAAGAACAACGAAGTTTGAGACAATTATTGAACATTTTGCAAATTAAGTATTATTGTATGATCTTTCTATTTTATCAAGTAACTCTGTAATTTTGTGCTAAATATAATTCGATTGTCCCCATTCATGTTCTCCTTCACTACAATACTATTAAATACCATAGAGAATACATTACTTTTTTTTTCTTTAAAATTTATTTAAAGGTTACAAATGTTTTTTTTTCTCCTTTATTTGAAATGATGAAAGAAAGAAATATAATTAGTTAATGATAAATGATGAATTATTGATTATTTCCCTAATAATCCACCATACATTCCACCTCGTTTATAATGTTGTGATCTATGACGTTGAATATATCTTGGATACATATTTTCATATGTATTCACTTGTGGTATTTCATCATTCATATAATATTCAGCCATTTGTCCATTTACTAATAGACTATTTGTGATGAATACACAAATGATAATCAATGCAAATGTTGAAATTGAATGTAACCGCATCTTGAAAGTTGTAGATATTTCTTTTCTTCTGTAAAATAAAGCAAGGATCATGTTTATGAGGAAAAAAAGTAATAAATAGATACATGTTTTAATGTAAACTTGTCTAATTTGTGAGATTCACCTATCGGTGAGACTATAATTTATGGAGGATCTTTGAGTGATTCTTAGACTGACCTTGAGAGTGTCCACCTAATAATTAGGATTATATGAGGGTTATCAACATGTGTGTGTGTGAAATTAGAATTATAATTTACAATTGATGATAAAGTTAAAAATTAGATTTAAGGTTTTCATCACGAATTGACATCAGCTATAATGCTAAAACTTTATTTATCTAAATAGATAAGTGAATTTCGCGCTCAAATCCGACACCTGTTATCTTATATGTGATTGGTTCATCCATAAATTATAGTCTCGTCTATATATCTCCATGAGAAGGCTAACCATAGAGATATCTGTTATTTCTTATCAGCTATTTCAATTTCATATCAATGATAGTTGAATAAGATTTTTCTTTTCATCTTGTTTTGCTTTATAAATTCTGACCAATGATAAATAAACATCACATGTTCTGTAGTTAATTATTTTGAAATCGTATATTGAAATGATAACTCCGCCTGGAGACACTCCGAAAGCTGCTGCCGGTCCCAAGCCCGGATTAAGGAGGAGGGTTGGGCATGGGGTTGACGACCCCATCCCGTAGAAAACTTACTCGCTAACCAGTAATGATCCTCAATCAAATATTTGAAACTAATAATTTGTAACTCTGATTATAAAAAAAAATAAAATAATTTGAATTATTATTAAAGTGAATTGTGAATTTTGGTCCATTTAGTTATGATGTAACCATGGAGATTAAGAAGTAAATTAATAATTAAGAAAGATTAAGAGATAAATATGTTAATTGAAAATGTTAGTAAGATATTTAGCATGAGTTTTGTGGAGAATTTTAGGAAATTTCACAGGTTGAAATCATGAGTAAATTGAAGCTAGACCATCATTGAAAACCTGGAAGCACTGGACGGCCGTTTCGTTCTAGTATGCGACTCCTCAGCAGTGCGCATCCACGATCCCGCACCACGCGGGGCTGGAACCCAGGACCTCATGGCTTCGCGCGCGAGCACTAAATCATTAGACCACTGAGTCGGCATCCAACGGTGTTAATGTCTAACTTCAACCAATCCACAAAGTTGCGCCGTCGAACACAATTGTCTTCAGTGAGCTGATATCTCACAACAGACCTGGTTATTTATTAAATATTTCTACAGTGAATAAATTACGTAACTTCAAAGAAGCAGACACTTATATTTTGAACCTATCTGATAAGTTTTAATCAATATAGTTAATATACTATAAGGAAAATGATCTCTGTATAAGTTTTACATTTGCCTTATGTAACATAATAAAATGAGAATAATATATTTTAATGGTCAAGATAAAAACATAGTTGTAATTAAAACTTTAGCCTTATGTTAAGTTTACTATTTGATTAAGGCAAAATGCAGTTTACGACTACGACACCTGAACGTTGAACCGTCAGAAATCAGAAGAAAAGCTGGAGAGGCGTTTATTTGGTGAGAATCGAAATGTACAGAATATCATGGGTTGTAGTTCTCGACTCAACACCTTATAATAATCATCTTAATAAAATTAATAACACACATACACAAATTCATAAGGTGATTAGCCAACAGTTGTTTGGTCACAACTTGTAATATCAATGATGGCCTCCTCGAAAATCTGGGCTACCTATTCCTGTCCTCTAGATATTTCAAAACGTAATCTGTTTCCTTGTTTGTTTTAACAAATAATTATGCCAATTATTTGTATAACTTATTCAGGTGAATTTGTGAAAAGTTTATGATCTTTCGTTGTACAAATTACAAAAAAATGTACAATCGGTGACATCATGACAGCTGGCAGTATGCATTGATTAGAATGGAGATTATTCAGATGTCGATACCTGAACTGTTAACATCTAACTGACGATCACTCAATGTTTATCGTCAGGGTCAATCAAGAAATAAGAAAAAGAAAACTTGTTGAAATACTTTGTGCTAAGAATTCTATATTGTACCAAAAATTGAATATTGAATAAAGCTAATAATAAAATAATACTGATATGAAGCCATATTGGTTATGTATAAACCTTATAGGATGTACAAAATAAACGATTTTCCTTATTCCATAGGCGGTAAACGTTATTGAAATACGTTTAGATTGATTTTTATCGATTCACAGAGTAGATATTTTCATATATCAAGTAACCAAACTATGCTACTAGTTAACAATGTTGGAACAGTCGATTGAATTATAACTAGATAATATATTTATAACTTCATAGTTCAATGTTTTAATGCACACAGTAATAGCATAATTTCATCACCTATTAATCAGCTATCTAAACTCTTCTAAGCAAAAATAATTTTTCCATCAATGTTCAAAACAACAGATCATGAATATTTTACAAGTATGATCATAAATTAATGCTGGTGAGCGGCCTATGCTCCTTCACGAGGAGTAACAGGCGTAAGTAAGTAAGTAAGTAATGATCATAAATTACCTTGGTTGGTTTAATAATTTCATATATGCATATAAATATTACTGTATATTAGAGTACATTCTGATGAGGATCTAATCGAAAACGATATTGTTCGATTATATATATGTTATTCTAGAGTAAGCATTTATTAACCTCAGTAAATTAATTAAGCTACTCTTCTAAATTATAATTACACATTTTTGGCAAAGCAAGGGCCGCATTCCTACAATTGAAGAACATATGGAACTCAAAACAACTTTCAACCAATATCAAAGTCACAATCTTCAACACCAACGTCAACGTAGTTCCACTGTACGGAGCTGAAACTTGCAGAACTACTACAAGCATCATCAAGAAGGTACAAGTATTTATAAATAGTTGTCTACGCAAGATGTTCAACATCCATTGGACAGATACCATCAGCAACAGCCTTTTGTGCGAGAGAACAAACCAGCTTCCAGCTGAAGAAGAAATTAGGAAAAGACGATGGAAGTGGATAGGACATACATTGCGTAAATCATCAAACTGCATCACGAGGCGACCCCCAACTTGGAATCCTGAAGGGAAGCGTAAAAGAGGAAGGCCAAAGAACACATTACATCGGGAAATAGAAGCAGATATGAAAAGGATGAATAGGAACTAGAAGGAGCTGGAAAGGATTGCCCAGGACAGGGTTAGATGGAGAATGCTGATGAGCGGCCTATGTTCCTTCACGAGGAGTAACATGCGTAAGTAAGTGATTACGTAAGTATTTTCTACACTTGGTTACATGGATCATTAGAAAAATTGATTTACAATGAACAACCGGTTACATTTTGATGTCAATGATATACACTAATTGAATAATTTGAATAGTTACTTAAATTTTTAATGAAAAAAAAAGTAAAAAGCAGTTTAATAATGAATACTGAAATATGAATTTCATAGGAAGTTCCGATACGTGATATCGCAAGTCCTGAGTTCGCTTCCCTCGAGGCGAGATCGTAAGTATTCACTGTTGAAGAGTCCCATACTGAGACACAACAAGCGTTCAATGCTTCCAGATTTTTCATGATGATCTATTTTTATTCAACCACTAAAATTACTATAATCTCCATGAAAACCCCATTCTTCTGAGAATACAAATATTCATAAGTTTTTTATTGAGATCATGAACTAATTGATGTTTGACCAACATTAAAAACCTGAATACACTGAACGGTTGTTTTCAATGGTGATCTAACTTCAATCAATTCATGATCTCAATCAAAAATTTAATAATCTTCACAACTCCTATACTGTTATTCATAAGTTATGAATACAACTAACTATTTCCAATTATTAAAATAAGTAATAAGTCAATAAAAATAAATCAATATCCTATCAATATTTAATCAATCAACTAACACAAATAAAAGAATTTGTTTTGAAAAAAATAAACAATAATTTCATCATTCATAGAATCAAATGACCATGGATACAAACGAATAAAATAAAAATAGTAAGTAATATATTGAGATTATTGTTATTTTGTTGAAAAGGTTAACATTATGAAACACTATTGAAATATTTTTTTTTATATTAAACTAAACTATTTCAGATTATTTATGGTTATGATTATCATTAATCATTCTACTTCTTCTTCTTCTTGTTCGTCTTAATTTTTTTCGCTTCTTAACCCATTTTACCAAGTTTTGTATTTGGCCTATTTATGAATTAAACGTTTAAAGGTTGACCTTTCTATCGTTCTACATTTACAAACATACGTTCATATATGAAGGTGTAAATTAATAAAGATTTGAATGTAGAAGTAAACAAATTTTAACATCAACAACTTCCGGTTATTTATTTACGTACTTACTTACACATGTTTCCCCTAATAGAGAGCCATGGGCCGTTCACCAGCACTCTCAATCCAACAATGTACTGAGCAATCCTTTACAGTTCTTTTTAGTTGCTATTCATCCTTTTCATATCCACTTCCGATTCCCAACGTAATGTGTTATTCAGCCTTGCTCTTTCCCGTTTCCCTTCAAAATAACAAGTTAGCACTTGTGTCGTGATGTAGTTTGATGATTTTCGTAATTTATGTTCTATCCAATTCCAAGGTATTTTCCTAATTTCCTCTTCAACTGAGAGCAGGTTTGTTCTATTCCACAGTAGGCTATTGCTGATGGTATCCGGTCAATGAATGTTGAGTATCTTGCGTAGACAACTGTTTATAAATACTTGTATACTTTAGATGATGGTTGTGGTGGTTTTCCAAGTTTCAGATTCGTAAAGTGAAACTGTCTTGACGTTCGTATTGAAGATTATGACTTTAATGTTAGTTGACAGTTGTTTTGAATTACATATATTCTACAACTGCAGGAATGTGTCCATTGCTTTGCCAATCTATGCATTCCTTCACATTTCATCAGAACCTCCTTGTTCATGGATGATGCTGTACAGGTACAAGAAAGATTCCACATCATCCGGAGCTTCTCCATTATTTGAAGATGTTGCTATTACCTTTATGTATGTTGATGCTTAGTGATGCAGAGGCTAGTGCTACGTTAGTTGTCTCCATTTGCATATATTCGTATGTATGAAATAGAAGGGCCAGGTCATTTGAGAAGTCCAACTTCCAGTTACTTACTTATAATTGAAAGAATATGTTACTCACTGAAAGAAATTCACTAAAGATAGCCTAACATTCAAACATCGTTTTCCCGGTAGACTACTTATCGATAGAATATTGTCAACAGTCATTCCAAATTATGTAAGTACAATTAAATCTTAGTAAGAGAATTAATGTTAGTTAAAAAAAAATATAACTTAAACTTATAAAGGCTGTGGTCTATTTTTCTTTGACATCTGAATTTTTTTCCTTGGTTTTTGAATTATCACACCATAACATGATATCAGTCTTAGTATGTGGAGTTTAGTATACATATGCCAGATTCGATCAATCTGTAATAGTTCTGTTTTATTATTATTCATTCAGTTGACAAGTGATAACCAGTTTTTTCTTTGTTTTTGAGTAGATCATTAGTTTAAACCAAGTTATTGTATCATTATACCAATGTTGACTTTTATCAGACAATTTTTTTTTAAAACCAGACTCTTCTGTTCTATGTGTAATACTTAATATTTCAATTCTGAACCTCTTGTTTTGTTTTACTACTTACAATTTCTATAAATGATGATAAACATTCTTATTCACAATGAAACTGACATTCAACAAACATAAATCTAAACTCAATAATATTACCTATCAAACTAATAGAATATATACAACTTTCTATAAGATAAGAATACGTCTACTCTATATCTATTTACTAGATTTTATATAATATATAAATCAAAATATTTAATCACTAAGATAATAAATCAGTATCATTTAAATAATAAACTTAATCATGTATCTAACTCACTTATTACAAAGTGTTTACTAAATCAAGTTTAATTATTCAATAAATTCATTCAAAGGAATTCACTCTATTTATCCTAATTCATTTCCTATTTCATTATGCTCTTATTGGTTAAAGTTCATCATTCCTCATCAATAATAATAATAATAATAATAATAATAATAATAATACTCAAACAATATAGTTCTCAATGTATATTAAATATATTGAAAGTTTAAAAGATGTACCAATCACAATAGTAGTTTACAAAACAAACTATGGATGTTACTATTATAAATTAAAGTTCATTTATGATATTGAGAATAGATTTATCCAGTTTTTTATAGGTGGATATATATATTTTTATCGAATAGTTGAATTCATGAATCAACTAAAACTAGACTATCATAGAAAACCTGAAAGTATGAGACTCTTCAGCAATGCGTATGTACAATTTTCCCTGATGAGATTCGAATCCAGAATGTGTCGATCTTGTGTGCGAACGCTTAACCTCTAGAATACTGAACCTAACTTCCGTCAATCTAATTTTTGAACAAAAGTCCCCTTATATAGAATTTAAATAGTGTTTACTTACTTACTTACGCCAATTAACCCCAATGAAGCATAGGCCTCCAACCAGCATTCTCCGAACCACTCTGTCCTGGGCCCTCTTTTCTGTTTCTATCCAATTCTTCTTCATTTTTCTGATGTCTATCATCATTTCACGGCGTAATGTGTTCTTTGGTATTCCTCTCCTCCTTTGGTCTTGAGGATTCCTTGTGAGGACTTGTCTTGTGACGAAGTTGGGTGCTTTCCTCAGTGTGTGTCCTATCCACTTACAGCACTTCTTCCTGATTTTTTTCCTCCGCTGGGATCTGGTTTGTTCTTTCCCACAGTTAGTTGTTACGAATAATGTCCATCCAACGGTTCCAAAGTATTTTGCGTAGACAACTGTGTTTATTACTAAAGTTTATACAGCACTTAATTCATTCAATTTGTTACTCATTAGCTAGATGTTATTACATAACATGTTGTTTTTGTTCTTAATGATTCACAAACTTAATATGAATCATTTCAACATTCAAGATGATATTAGAATTATGATAAGCAATCATTATAAATTATTAAATTGTCAGATAATTTTCTAATGGTTGGTGACTACTGAAATAATCTCAGTAGTAATATCAACTTGTTAATCGATTATTAACATTACAAATTAAAGATCTAATAAGTAAATGTCATTATATTTTCACTAGAAATTATCATGAAGCATTGAAAATAGATGTACATACCTTAAGTTATGATTAATAAAGAACTTGATGAAACCTATATCCATGTATATATCTTTATTAGAAATACTTTAAATTAGCCTGTTTGTTAATACTGTGGATCAAAATTTTGACCTAGTTTTATTGACTTATGTGCATCATGTTAAAATGGCTTCCATGTAACCGTTTTGTTATATGCCTTTTATATAGTTGAATGGATAATTATTTTTAGTTAAATCTATATCATTACGTTTCATTTAAATCATTCAGCTGAACAGTTTCATGAAGGATGAAGCATGAGACCTTGACTACTTTGATAACAATGATTCATCTGAATGGGTTTTGTGGAGATTTTTTAGAAATTTCACTGGTTGAAATTATAAGTCAATTGAAGCTAGATCACCATGTCTAACTTCAAACAATCCACGAAGTTGCGCCACCGTACACCATAGACATTAACGACGTTGGATGCCGGCTAGTTCAGTGGTCTAGTTGGTTAAGCGCCTGGCGCTAGACTGATAGCTCCTGGGTTTGAATCTCGCGAAGAGCAGGTTCATGGATGCGCACTGCTAAGGAGTCCCATACTAGGAAGAAACGGCCGTCCAGTGCTTCCAGATTTCCTATGGTGGTCTAGCTTCAATTGACTCATGATTTCAACCAGTGAAATAATTCATCTGTTTGATTAAAACTATCTCCATATATTTTAAAACCTTTTTTTTCTAGATTGTTTCCTTCAATCACAATGTAAACATTTAAGAAAATTAGCATCTAATTTAATTTTCTTTGATTTATGTCCACCGTTTCTTTCTTTTTTTTGTGGAATTTTTCATTGATAAAGACCTCTTTAGTTAATATGACAAAATGGTATGAGCTTCCGGTCATTGATTTTAAATAATTAAGTAGTTTAGAGATAAACCATTCAATTTACATAATCCTCTTGCAAAATGTTTAATCTATCAACTACAGATAGTTAATTTTTTTCAAATCATAAAACTGATCACAACGTTACATTTACCTTCCTAAAATTTGATACACTTGGATACTAACTACTTAATAACTTAGCAAAAACAAAAAAAAACATTGTTACTTTTAATGTTTACTTTCAAACAAAACATTTACTTAGTGTTTTTAATGACGAAAACAACAGTTCTACTGTTACTTACTATTGTATATGTGCTCTACATGAGGTGATCTGTCAATTGTATAATGTGATGATCAGTTAAGAACGCCCAGATATTTTGTTTTGTGTTTAAAAATTTATTAATTATGAAACCAATGTATAGAAATTCTCTGTATACAAGTACTTTGAAGTGGATAGACAAACTTTAATTTTTATTTCAAATATATTGTACATAGTAACTGACTGAGGCTAATGGCTCAATTTCGTGGATTGGTTGAAGTTAGACATTAACACTGTTGGATGTCATCCAGCTCAATGGTCTAGAGGTTAAGCATTTGTGTACGAGACCGATAAGTCTTGGGTCCGAATCCTACTGGTGGGATCGGGATTGTTCATTGCTTAGGAGTCCCACAATAGGAAGAGTTGGCGAGCCATTGCTTCCAGGTTTTTAATGATGATCTAGCTTCAAATGACTCATGAACTCAACTATTAGAATTATTGTACATTTGTTTAAACAGTTTAAAATAAAAATGTACATTTGTAAACGTTTTAGATAGTATAAACAGTTTATGTCCGTTGTGGGTTTATGATAGAATTTCATGGTCTACATCGTATTCAGCAGTTTGTCGGTTTGTAAATCTACATGACAGAATTATACATGTATCCCTTTGTCCATAAACAAAGTTCTCATTAAAACATAGAAATCTATTTTGATAAACGTGGCTAAGCGTGACAACTAAATTATTTATTTGTAATACAATCTATCATCAAATTAATGGTTGATTATGAATCCAGTGGTCTTGAGTGCTGTTAGAGGTATGAGGGCGGTTATCACTTTCTGGTTGCCCACAACGTGGAAGGGTTCTTCTGGAGGTACCTGAAAAGGAAATCGGATTAGAAGTGGTCTTAGTGACCTGGGAGCGTGACCGCAGTGCCCAAGGGACAACTGTTTGAGGTTGGTCACACACTACCTTTTTGTGATCAACTTTCATGTTAGCTCCGTACTTGTTGAGACCTTACCACCAGAGACGGATATCCGTGGGATAAGGCGAGGTGTGCATTTTTAGGGTCGACCTTTTCTAACCCCACCCCTCCTTGTAAGAAGGCATCATCACTATCATGCTGGTTGTTTGAAGGAATACCTAACTGCCGTCACACCTTTGTATAGTCAGCAGTACGACTTCGCCTTCAGACCTTGGGTTTGTTGCTTTTAGTCTTACCGCTCTTCAACCGACCTTTCTAACGTGGTAGGACCTTGAGGAACAGTTGTTCCAGTCAGTATAGCTCGGTTGCTTCATCACTATAGGTAAGCCCGACCACCACGTCAAGGTAGCAACAACGGTCGGGATCATTAAATTACTTATCACTTTTTCTCTTTTTCGAAATATCCAATAGTATGACACAGTCTATGAACTATATTATGTATACTACTTATAAACACTGGTTCACATCTAGTATATACATCACCTGAAAGAAGCATATGATATAGGAATTCGTTCAAAGAGTTGTCAGTGTTGTTATTGAGACCTTATATTTGTAGCCTAAAATTTGTTTGAACTTTATACTGTATACATATCATGTTATAAATGAAATTCGTTTAAAGTAATAATTTCTCAGAATAATATCCAATTTTTTTTTCCAAATTATAAAACCATATTTTATGCAAATAAATGTTAGCTAGCAATGGAATCCAAGACAGGTGTTTCTTCTTATTTGAGACTCGTCAGCTGAATGTACCCACATCCCATAATTGATGCTCACTCCGAGACTCGAACCAAGAACCATCTGCTTCAAACGTCATCACGTTATTTACTTACCTACTGAGTCCTTATGTTTACTTGTATCTTCCCATGAATAACTATATTCCAAAAAAGAGAGGTAATATTCACCAAGTTGTTTTGTTTACATTATGAAATATAAAACATGAAAATTTGAATTAAAAAAAAGTAAACGCTAATAGGTATGCATTAAAAGACAATATTCACAATTATATATATATATATGAACTTATATAGGGAAGAATAATTGACGTTTTGAGGATGAATAATCTCTCATTTTCTTCTATTATTATAAATCAAGTTGATATTGATGAAAGATTGTTTTCAATGCAACAAATGGACTAAATAAATTTAAAGTATGTATTCAAACCTCTTTGAAAAACGATCCACAAACGTAGTTCTAAATGATTGAAGGGACGGTTTCTTTTCCAACTTTCAATTATGTAACAATTATATATATACAACCACAGACTTGTTTTCACAGAATTCCTAATGTTTGAGCACGTAGTTGTATAGATATCTATTTACTAATAAGTAATATGAACCTAACAGTTTTCAAATAATCCTACTACGATTTGTGACAAGATATTAGGTAAATATTTCTTAAGTCCTGAAACTCAAGGTACTTTAATGAACAAGAACACAAGTGAGGACAATTGAATGTATTTTGAACATAAAATTACAGAACTGTTCAATAAAATCTGAGAACCATATTGTTAATACTTCATTTGCAAAATTTCAATCCATTGTCTCAAACTTCACTGTTCCTTTTGCATATATCGGTCAATCATCTCAGATTTTATTGTTCTTTCGTTTTCACACCAATCATTCTTTGTTCTTGTTCTCTTTTCTTTGATTTTCTTAACTTTCTGCCATCAGACATTT